TCTGTGTCTGTGTGTCTGTGTCTGCGTGTCTGTGTCTGTGCCTGTGTCTGTGCCTGTGTCTGTGTCTGTGTCTGCGTCTGTGTCTGTGTGTCTGTGCCTGTGTCTGTGTCAGTGTCGGTGCAAAGACAGCGTGTGCAGGCGTTTTGTTGCTGCTGCAAGTAGTACGTTCATGTAGTATACTTCCACGTGTGGCCCTCACCTATGAGAAAGGTCCTTGCCCAACTCCCGTGTATACTTTGACAAGTGCTGGAGACTGATGCATATCTCTTGGCTGCGAACTCGCCAGGTTCACACAGGTGGCAGAAGTCACACTGCTCCTTGTTCTGGCAGCCGTCCTGCATGCCAAGCTGACTAAGTAAGCTATTTTTCCGCACAGCCAGTGTAGCAGTGTCCTGGAAAATGAAGGCGCATGGCTTGCATGCCCTCCACGCATGAAGCGCTGATCCCCTTCCAATCAATGGGCATGTGCAATGTCTTCATCACTCAAAAGTCTTCCGACACCTGCTTGGCAGTTCCGGGGATCCAAGTACCGCAGACTTGGCGCTTCCCTGCCAGGCTGCTTTTGCACACTTGTCAAGTCCTAGCTGCTAACCAGACCCGTCTCCACCCGTCTCCCACCCACATTTTCTGGGTCCGTTTGAAGCAGCTGAACACTGTATCTCCCTGGCACTTCAAAGTGGAAAACGCTCCAAATTTAGTAGGTCCGATCTTGTTCAGGAGAATTCCACGAGGGTCGCTATAGCATCGAGGATGGATCACAGTCCGGAAGATGCAAATGCACGTCAAACGCACAACCACATGCAGTTCCGGAATGAGCTGTATAGCTGCAAGTTGCAAAGCAAGTCCTTAGTCAGCCCTTAGACAACCTTGCACACTGCAATGCACTGCATGCGCTCCTTGCAATGATCCGGGACGCACGCCGCCTCCGAGCCGGAACCTCCAGAAGCCTTGTCAGCACGGCAGTCTGCATGAAATTGCTTGGGTTTCAACATGTCAAGAATATTACAGAATGTCCGCCGAGCCCTTGGCCCGTAGGTGTCTGGGTAGCACAAAGCAGGCACCCCACCTCTAATCCTCTCCCCAGCCCAGGTTTCCCCTTTATTTGCACTTTTTGGCCCGAAATGGGTACCCCTCCCCCCCTTGCCGACAAGTGAGTGGGAGCAGACGGCGCAGCAGGACCAGGGGGCGCTTCAGCCTGGCATAGGGGCCGCCCCCAACCCAACACCCCCCCCCCCCACCGCCCCCACCCACCCCACACCCACTGCACCTCCCCCAAACCCCTATTCCTTTTGCACCTATGATGTTCTATGTAATGAATGGTAAGGATAATAAAAACCACCCCCAGCGCCGGACCTTTCCCCTCCCTCTCCCACCCCACCTGCCCACAGCCTGTGTCGCCTTGTTACAGAAAGCTCAGGCCGAGGCGGGTCGCAGAGCGTTAAAATTACAGAATGTTAAAAATGTTAAAGAATGTTAAAGAAGAATGCTAAAGAACGTTAAAGAATGCTAAAGAATGTTAAAGAATGTTGAATGTTAAAGATAGGTTTTAAGTTTTAAACGCCCAGTCAACAATACAGTCGCAATTTCCGAGCTCAATGCTGTGGAGTTTTCACTGCCTGTACGCTGTCGACCTCTATGGGTTCGCAGAAACTCGCAGACTCTACTGAGAGGAGGCAGCAGCAGCACAGCGCAGCAGCGCAGCAGCGCAGCAGCCCTGTAACTTTGGTTTGACCAGATTTGACCGTTGCCTGGGAGCTGCGGCTTCGTTTCATGGAGGCGCGCAGCGCCGTCACCTCGAGCATCGCAAACACCAAAGAAAGGCCCATGAGATCCCAGGCTGAACAATGCTCTTGCGCTCTTGGCAAGCCACGGCTTGCGCGACCAGACAAGGCCTGGAATGACAGGGCCCATCTCGCATGAGTCGCTGAGTTCACACTTACACCATGCGCCTCGGACAGTCGCAAACATGGCATCTGCACCTGGCAAGGTACAGATAGGTACAGCCCCAATGCGCATGAGAGATGATAGCATTTCGGTGCCTGTCCCTGACCCTGTGAATGCCAGGATGGGCCCTGTCAAAGGAGGTGGTCAAAGAGCGACATGGTGCAGGTATGTGCCGAATGCAGATTACAAGTTGCAGGCTCGGCTCCTGCCAGAATTCAGCCGGGGCCGATGCTCCCTCACAAGCCTGACATCATGTGAGGTGCCGAGCTATGAACAATGAGCCCGTGTTGGCACCTCTGCACCTGTTGTATTCGGGACGACGAAGCAGTTTTCTGCCCCCAACCTTGTTGCCATGGCCAGTCATGGATGCACCGAGAACGATCTTCTCTTGCGGGCAGCATGGTGGCCAGATCGCTTTGGTCCGAGGCACGACACGCCTTCGTTCGGCTGAACCTTGACCAACTTTCCACATGCAACACTTAGACACACAAAGGGACACTCAAAAGAGTTGACAACGAAACTGAGTTCTCTAGGCCGCCGGTCGCGATAGATCAGAGGCGCTCGGCACATGCCAACAGGCGCACCTCACATTGTCGCGGCCAATCCAGATGCACTTCGCCTTGGAACCTGTCGCATGCCTGGCAGAGGGTTCTCGAGCAGCCTGAGTGCTGCAGCCGGTGCTGATGTGACCTTGCAGGAGTGCATTCAGTGCATTGATTGATTGATTGCCTGTGGGCGCCATTCAGTGCATTGAAGTGCATTTGAGTGCATTTGAGTGCATTTGAGTGCATTTGAGTGCATTGCCCATGCCTTCGAGACTGAAAGGACACCCTTGCACGCCTTGATGGAACTTCTTGGCCAGCGCGGCTCCCTCTTTACATAGGTGTTCCTGAGAGAGACATGTTGAACACTTGCAGATGGTGCACAATGCTGCATCACGCATCACCGCTAGCAATCAGCTGCTAAAGCCTGTCAAAGGCGTCCACGACGCTTCATGTGGCTGCTTTGCTCTTGCTGACTCACATGCTTGGACAAACGAAGCAAGGTATCGAAGGAGCAACCCCCCTTCTGGGTGAGAAATGAGACGGAATCGAGGACAGAGATGCTCAAGCGGCAAACTCATCAGCCTCCTTCCAGGCCCTTCACACAATGATGCGAGGCATGATCGGATTAAAGACTTCCAGCAAGTTCTTCAGGTCAAGAATCCACTCGTCGTCCACACCCACCATCCACGTCACATGCGAGTAGCCGGCATACTCCTTTGAGAAGACCACATTCTCATTGTCCTTCAAGTCGTTTGACAAGTGGTGGACGTCCAACGGATCTGCCAGCGTGTCTGCAGAGCCCCGGAAGAGTGCCAAAGGCATCCCAATGGCAGATACGTTGTACGACGGAGGATCCGGCACCCCATAGTGTTTCACATTCTCGGCTCGTCCATAGTCGAAACGTCCGAACCTATCAGATATCAGAAACTGCTCGTAGTGATCAAAGTCCTTGACACTGGTTCCTGCTGGGAAGTGAGCTGCCAAGTTGGCGATGGCCTTCTCACTGTCATGCGGCGAACTGCCACAAACTACATCGATAGTAAGAGTGCAAAGCTTTCCGAACGTAACCTTGCACAGCAACGATCCGATGGTAGGTAGCTCGGACCAGGTAAAAACATCGTAAGGAAAAGCATACTCCAGTATCTGCCCAAGTCGGAAATCCTTCGCCACGGCCAACAAAGTCGACGTTTGATGCTTGAGATAGGACACAGGAGACAGGGCAACAAATAGGTTCACATGCATGTCCAGATATTCCTTGTGCTGGGCCTGAGCAGCTATAAACATCTGCGTAGTGCCTTGGGACCAACCGATGAAGGTCAGCTTCTGCTGCGAAGAAACATTCAGCACGTATCTGACGTTTGCTACAACATCGAAAGTCGCCATCTCATCGAAAGTGAAATTCCAAAACTCCTTGTTCAAGAACGGCTTTAGCGTGGTGTGGTTTCGGCTAAAAGTGTTTCCACGACTGTTTGGCAACCACACATCGTAGCCCATTTGCCACAGCAGGATGGCAAGCGATTTGTCGACGGTGTTCACGAGCCAGCACCATGCGGATGCCAGGATGCCATGCTGCAATAGAACCACAGGACTCGAAGGTCGCGGAAGACGAAAGGCTCTCAATATGTACCCATCGTCTGTGTGTACGAAGTGCTCTTCGACAGAGATGCCATACCTGCTCAAATACTCCTCAATTGTGTCGCTGTTCTTGATCACTGGCATAGGCTCGGCAAGTGACTTGCCAGCGGCCCAGCAAAGTACCAGAGCTCCCAACGGGATCATGACACCGAATGGCACTAAGAACAAAGGGCCTTTTGTGTGAAGACACCCTTCACAGTTTGAGCAGAACCTTTCCGCAACTTCGATGCCCAATGAGCAAGCCCATGGAACTAGAGGAGACTTCGCAGTTAACTCTGCTTTGGCGGCTCTGAGGGTCCGGCTGCTGATCACCTAGCAAAATGGGAGCACAGATCCTCTAGCAAGCGAAAAACCCGGCGAAGGCCGTCTTCCCGGGAAGACGGCCGAATGCCCCTGTGACCGGCTTTAACCGGTGGTTGAACTCCGGTCTATCTCCACTTCTAGCTTGGAATCCTTCCAAACCTTCTTCACCTCCAAGTATTATCTTACTGTTCTGTGATTGCTGCTTCGCTCAGACTGACTTTGCACTTGCGAATGTGGAAAACTTTCTCATCTCAACCTGAACCTTGGGATTTGCAGTTCCTGCGTCAGTAATGAACCAGGCGCATGGGCTGGTGAAGCCGTATCGTTCACAGAGCCAGAGAGACGCAGGTATCGATGTGAGTCCATGACGCAACATGTACAAGCTGCAGCTAACGTGCCTCAGCGAGAGCACTGTTCCCAGAATACATATGCGCCCTAAGACACCCGCAAAGGTGTGCTAGTACATGGAGATCATGAACATCGCACAGATGTCGAAGAGGGGCTCAAGATGGCTAAAGATGGCTAAAGCATGAGCACCGAGTGCTGCGACTAATTGCAGGTTGTGCGAAACTTGTCATTGTCCGGCATTGTCCAGCCTTCAAGCTGTGGTGGAGGTTGCGCACCTGGCACCAAAGGGGCCTCTGCAGGTGCATTGAACAGCGTGTCGTGCAAACATGATCCGCTGCCCTGAAGAGCCCTGAGGAGCCCTGAGGAGCCCTGAGGAGCCACTGCTGAGTTGAGCTGCTCTGTTTTTGGCCACTCTCGCCACTCAATTACGGACTCTCAGAAATATCTGCAACATATCTCTTATGGTGGTAAGCCCCACACAGCACGAAGTGCATTGTACGAGTTCTCCATGAGGGATGGACGAAAGAGTCCCACCTGCGAGAAATAGAAATGCAGCAGAGGGACACGTCTAAAACATGTTGCGCACGGAACATGAAGGCCCATGAGGGTACTTCCCACCTTCTGCTGGTCTTTCCGGGGCCTCATCACGAAAGTGCCACACTTGGCATCCAAGATCATGCAAAGACTCTCTGCACTTCAGCATGGCTTTGTTGCAGCATTCCTTTCGTGAGATAAGTGCAGGTGTGCCCTAACATGTTTTCTTTTTCGGAAATGGGCCCCTGGATCTGGGCAGACTTGCCCCTCAATCTGGCCACGTTTGTCCTTCAATCTGGCCGATTGAGCCTTTGATCTGCCAAAGCCCAACCGACAATGGCCAGCAGAATATCGGATAGCTGCATATGGTATGGTGCAGCTAGTACATGTCTACCAAATTTAACCTTTAGGCCTGTACTTATAGTCCAGAGTCTAGATCCGGTTGTGTGAGGCCTGCTTTGCCGCACCCGGTTTATAGCAGAGTCCAAGCCGTTGAAGCCAAACTTTCCGCAAGAGCACACTGTTACGATGCAGTTTCAGACTGGTTTGTTTAGCACCGGGGAACCGGGGAACCGCGCCCATCTGGACAATGTGCCTACATCATTGGCCCGACGATGTTCGGGCTTTGGGGGGAACCTCTCAGCCCAAAATTTGCCCCTAAGCCCCCCAAAATAAGCGACAAGTCTGCAACCCGAAACCACACCTCATTTCTGAAGTGCGGGCTGCCAGAAACACGATGCAACATGTGAAAGAAAGCTGTGGCACATAGCAGAAGACCTCAAACATCGAAGCTGCCGCAGGACTGACAAGCACCCCCTTTCCCCTTTCCGCTTCCCACGGTCGCATTTTGGGTTGTTTGGACCCGGAAGGCCACATCTGCCGCTTAAATCGCTCCAGCTAAGGAGCGAGTTTGGAGCCCAAGAACACGCCACAAATCTAGCGTACACTCGATTACCGCAATTTGCCTTACTTTTCCCGTCGGACTTGCCTCTATCTTGGGGGGGTTCACTGGGCGAGTCTCGGGGCTATAAGGAGGAATGGCCAAGATGGCCAAGTCTGAGATTTCTCAGTGAAATACTGTTGGGGCAGCTGGAGCAGCCTGTCTATAGGTGCACAAAGCGGAAGGCAACAGACCGTGCACCATAAGGCTCTAAGGTTTAGGAATCGGGAATAGGCTAGCCAATAAAACGGCACAATTTTCAAATGGGTACGCCCCCTAGGAAACCGCGGTCCGCAAGCGGACGGTTCGCCAGGACCAGAGGCAGTTGAAGCCCCTCCCAGCAGGACCCCCCCCCCCCCCCCCCCCCCCCCCCCCCCCCCCCCCCCCCCCCCCCCCCCCCCCCCCCCCCCCCCCCCCCCCCCCCCCCCCCCCCCCACCCCTCCCCCCCACGCCCCTCCCCTTTTCCCCGCCAAGCCACTACAGAATATTGGTGAGCGAGGCTCAACTGGTGTGTGATGCATTACACGAGCCGAAAAGTCTAAGCTTGAACCTAAACCCTAAACCTTAAACCTTAAACCTAAAGCCCGAAGCACTCAACCCTCAAACCTTCAACAAACCCCCTGCCCCCCCCCCCCCCCCCCCTTCCCCCCTGCCCCCCTTCCCCCCCCCACCCCCCCTAACCGCCCCTGAGGGGCCTGGCTCAACCCTACGATCAATCCAAGCCGAACCGTCTCTTGAACCTTATCTAAGTTCTAAAGCTATGTGTTAGTCCACACATCAAAAGTAGGACGACAGCAAAACGACGAAGGGACGACGGTGGGACGACGGAGGGACGATGGTGGGACGACGGAGGGACGACGGCAGGATGGCGGGGGGACGACGGCAGGACGACGGGGGGACGACGGGGGGACGACGAGGGGACGACGGGGGGACGACGGGGGGACGACGGCTGTCGCGCCGTCGTCGCGCCGTCGTCTCGTCGTCGTCGCGCCGTCGTCGCGCCGTCGTCGCGCCGTCGTCACGCCGCCATAAGGCCTAGTTTAAGCCCAAACTAGGCCTTATTTCCCGTCATAAGGCCTAGTTTAAGCCCAAACTAGGCCTTACGACGGCGGGACGACGGCGGGACGACGGCGGGACGACGGCGGGACGACGGCGGGACGACGGTGGGACGACGGTGGGACGACGGCGCGACGACGGCGCGACGACGACGTCCCCCTGTCGTCCCCCCGTCGTCCCCTCGTCGTCCCTCCGTCGTCCCCCCGTCGTCCTGCCGTCGTCCCCCCGTCATCCTGCCGTCGTCCCTCCGTCGTCCCACCATCGTCCCTCCGTCGTCCCACCGTCGTCCCTTCGTCGTTTTGCTGTCGTCCCCCCCGTCGTCACCCCGTCGTCGCGCCATCGCACCCTGTCGTCGCGCCGTCGTCAGCCCGTCGTCGCGCCGTCGTCACCCCGTCGTCGCGCAGTCGTCACCCCATCGTCGCCGTGTCAAAGTCCTGACGTCTAGACCCCTCTAGCTGGACTAGAAACCATACCCCACATATCTCTAGAATTTAGATAACCTAAACCCCAAAAAACCCTAAACCCCAAAGCGTGAACCTTGAGCCCTAAGCCCTCAATCCTAAACTAACCCTCAACCCTAAACCCCAAACCATAAACCATAAACTCGGAACCCTAAACCCTAAACCCAACCCTTATTGCTTGGGGTCCAGCGACTTGGGCGCTGCGGAATCACCATGCTCACGCGGATGCGCTGGGCCGGGCCGAGGCGGGTCGCGTAGCGTTAAAATGAAAGGACCGGATAACCCCACATGCAAAGTTATCTATTCGCAAAGAGTGTATAAGTAAATATGAGTGAGAAGATGAGAGAGAGTGAGCGAGTGAGCGAGTGAGCGAGTGAGTGCGTGAGTGCGAGTGAGCGCGGAAGTGTGAGTGCGTGATTGCGGAAGTGTGAGTCAGTGAGACAGTGAGTGTGAGTTGTGTCCTTCGCCGCTGCTTTGGTAGCGTGCAGGTGTGGGATTTAGGGCGACAGCTTCTTTAGGGGTTTAGGGTTAAGGGTGAAGGGTTAAGGGTTTAGGGTTAAGGGTTAAGGGTTAAAGGGTTTAGGGTTTAGGGCCTAGGGTTTAGGGTAAGATGGTGTGTGGTGCGTTGGTGAAGAGAGTTGGTGGTACGTTGCTGAGTCATCGTTGGTGAGTCACGGTGCTAACGTTTCACATGTCCAGGGCCCCTAAATGTCGCGCCCGCCAACGTTCCCGAGGCGCGCGCGGCACCGGTCCAGGATGGTCCAGGGCCGCAAGGCCCCTTATAATGTAGATGTCATGGTGTCTGCGTCAGTCATGGCGCTCAGTCATGCTGTGTGTGTCAGTCACGGTGTGTGGCGCGTTGGTGCATAGCGTGGTAAGATGGTGTGTGGTGCGTTGGTGAGTCATGGTGAGTCATAGTGAGTCATGGTGTGTGGAGCGTAAGACGGTGTGTGGTGCGTTGGTGAGTCATACTAAGTCATAGTGAGTCATGGTGTGCGTGCATGGAGGAGGAGGGAGGAGGGGGGAGGAGGAGGAGGAGCAGGAGGCAGAGGAGGACGAGGACGAGGAGGAGGAGGAGGAGGCGGGACAGCCCCAAAAGTAAGAACCCCACACGAAGGTGTGGGGAAATACAGAAGTAAGGATCAAATCCTACCACAAATAAGGGATCAAATCCTGATCATAAGGGTTGAATGCTGGCAAAATCAAGTCCCCGAAAATACGGTTTCAATCTACCAAGAATAACGACACAAATTCGAAGCTGAAGGTAAAATCCGACCCAGAATATGCCCAAGAGTAAGGGTCAAACCCAAACCCCCCAAAACGAGTCAAGTCCTACCAAGAATAAGGGGCATATCCCCCAAAATCAAAGTCTGACCCTGCCTAAGGGCCAACTCCTACCACGAAAAGGGGTCAAAAACCCTCAATACATTCAGACACATCACCGAAACTTGATGCCTGGCCGACGAAAGCTAGCCCGCGACCCCTGAACACTTAAACCTTTGAACCCCAAACGTCTGAACCCCGAAGACCCCTAAAACCTCTAAACCCGCAAGCCCCGAAAAACCAAAACCCCTGACACCCTAAACCCCTATACCTTAACTATTAAACCCCTAGGCCCCCACATCCGTGAACCCCTCAAGTCCGGAACCCCAGACCCTAAACCTCAACCCCGAACTCCTCAACCCCTGGCCTAAACTCCGAAATCCCAGAATCCGTGAACCCCAAAACCCTTAACCTAAATCCTTAACTCCTTAACCCCATAAACCCCCTAAACCCCTGATCCCCCAAACCCCTAAACTCCAATATAAATCCGTCTCCCACACCACCTCACGCGACCCCATGACACGCCACGCCACCACACCCACCACACCCCCATCATATGCCACCGCACTCCACCCCAGGCAGCAACGCGCGACGACACATTGTGGTTGCTGCTGCTGCTGCTGCTGCTGCTGCTGCTGCTGCTGCTGCTGCTGCTGCTGCTGCTGCTGCTGCTGCTGCTGCTGCTGCTGCTGCTGCTGCTGCTGCTGCTGCTGCTGCTGCTGCTGCTGCAGTTGTTCTTGTTGTTGCGTGGCTGCAGTCCATATCCATTTCAACACTATTGACCCCGTCGCCCCCCCCCCCAAAAAAATAAAAAACAAAGGACAGGTCGGTTTCCGTGAAACACTTCAATGATCCCCCCCTAAACAAAGAGCGACATTCCTGGCAGCCGCTCATCGAAGGCTCATCTGATCCATCCACGTATAAAACAAGAACAAACAAGTGTCAAAAAGAAGCCTTTAACTTGAGAAACGGCTGAACATGTATGGACTCAACAGCCATCTGACTGGGCAGCTCACACATCAACTCCTGTCCACCAGGGCTAGCTGACACAGCTGTAGGACTACTGGCTTTCAAGACTCTCTGGTAGACTCAAAGTGAAGACTGGAAAAGCAACAAGAAATAAGTAAAACAAGTGTCTCCACTCTGCAGGGGCGTCCTTTGGCATCCGCAGGCCCTCTGCCCGGCACGCGGCAGGCCCTGGATTCCTCGTATGCGTTTTTCTTATTCATTGTGTGTGTGTGTTTTGGCATGTTTTGGGGCCGACACCACAGGCATGGCCGCCATGGCGGCCATCGCAGAGCCGGATGCCCGAGGGCCAACGCCTCCAAAACCGGTTCGCAAGAGCTGAGAAGGAACAGCAGGAAAAACGCAGGAAACCGCAAGAAAACCGCAGGAAGCCGCAGGAAACCTGCCTCAACGTCTAAGGGGTACACAGCTTGACCGTGCACTAAGTTCAGCCGAAATCGCTTCAGACAAGAGGGCATCTCCGTCATGCTCCAAGCATCCAGAAAGAACATGCAAATATCATGCAAACCTTGACTGGAGCCTGGGCCATTGCTGCAAGCGCAGATTCGAGCTGACCCTCGAGGCCAAACTCAAATAAGCTCCAGTGACTCCAGTGGACGCATCCGCGCATGATTGGCTGAGCTGATGACATCACCTGGCGTTCCCATGCCGTTCCACTGCGCGCGCCTCGAGGAGGTTCAATGCGCTACGGCCGGTATGGCGCCGGCTTGCGATAATGAGATGGAATGAGAGCGGGGCCCAGATCCAGCTGCGGCCTCGCAAAAACCAGCTCCACTGTTCCATACTGTTCCCTTCAATGGAACCGTCATCCTCTCTTTGACACTCTGACGTCCTGAAAAAAGCTGCAGCTTCTGGCCTGGTCCATACCGGGTGGCGAGAAGCCTGACGTTCCAGTAAAGTGCAGCCACAAGCTCTGCCACAGATCTTGAGTCGTTTCGAAGATGTTCGAAGTAAAACGATGTCAATGCCAGCAAGGCGGCGCCCGCTTCACGCACCACGCGGCGCACGCAAACTTGCAGCGCGGCCGCAACCGCTTCAGTCGAACTGCGCGAACGTGCGCCTTCCAGCCGTCCAGCTTCTGCGTACAGAGCTGCCTGAGCTGCCTGAGCTGCCTCCACCGAAAGATCTCGGCATGACGAATCATGACGAAGCTCTTGGGGAGCAAACTACGAAGCAGGTCCGGGCAGCCTCAAAACTTGCGTGCTGAAGGGCTTGGTGGTACCTGGCCCGGCAGTCCAAGCACATACAAGGCCCAAGGCAAGCCACAACCAAGCTGAACACTACCATGGCACTAAAGTCATCAAGATTCACAAAGTGCTTTGCTGTTTGTCTAGTTGATTCGAATCAGACTATCAACCCCAGACAACACTGCAAAGCAGTTCCTGAACAGTAAAGCAAAGCGGACAGGCCTCTCAACAGAGTGTTTCCATGAGTTTCCGGAGCATGTGAGCACTTCAGGTGCGAACAAGGTGCATGGCAGCTTCATATCTTGCTCGAGCAGCCGCTTCATACCTGCAAAACACTTCTTCTGTTGCCACTCAGGTGTACCATCAAAATCTTCTTTTTGCTGGACATACTGCAAGCAGTGGGACTTCAGGACAAAAACGTCCAACTGAGAGCGCACGTTGCTCGGTCGCCTCGGGCAGCGGCAATGCCCATCGCCTCTGCAGTTGTCGCAGGCACACGGCACTTAGCAGGTGATCCCACAGCGACCCACAGCGAACCACAGCGAGTACTGAACATGCAGGTGGCCAAGCACACGCACAGCACACCTCGATTGGATGCAAGGATTTGCTCTGAATTGATTCTTGCGCGTGAATTCTCTTGCATTTTCATTTGGAGCACTTGGAGATGTGGGTTGACTTCTTCAGCGCCCACAAAGCTGCAAAAACGCCATGTCATCTCCTTATCTTCATCAGCTTGTTTGTTAGCCTAATTGTCCTCCGGCGTCGTCGTGAACAAATTATTCTTCATCTTCATCCTCATCATCATTCTCACCAACAACAAGAGCAAGATCACAAGTTTTATCAGGTTTATGGTACGGTGCTGGGGGGTTGGAAACGAAAGAGAAACAAGTCCCAAGTCTTCAAGCGAATTTCAGGAGCAGATGCAAGGCTCCAACGACAGCCTCCTGCCAGCGACTCACGTGCATAGCTGCAATTGCCGCTTGGCCCTGCAAGCAGAGCGAATACAGCAAATGGAGGGGGGCAAATGGGCAATGCAGCGCTGACTCAGAACTGCAGTTTTCCTGCAGAGCACTGAGGCCACCCAGGCCGTGGGGCCCCCGCTGAGCCTGCCGTGGCAAAACTTGTCTAAACAGAGACCATAAGATACCATCACGATACCTACTGTTGCACATGCAGGGGGCTGGTTGCGGAGTCACGACTCAGGTCCAACATCCAAGCATTTCAGTCCTCGAGCTCTGGGTGCCTGCTCGAATGGTTAAAGCCTTGTTTTGTTGCTGGCGCTCTATGAGAGAGCCCATTCTGCGAGCCCTGAGAGCCATCCTTCCCTGCCGCGCTCTCTCTCTCTCTCTCTCTCTCCTCCATGGCGCCGAAGGCATTGGCCGCATTGGCCTCAAACTCCGGCACCTCGGAGGCGCGAGAACACACAGAGCGTGTCTCGGAACTCTGGCTGACTGAGAGAGAGTGAGAGCGAGAGAAAGAGCGAGCGAGCACGAGCAGAGCGATCTCTCTCTCTCTCTCTGAGGGTGGCCGCCCCCCCAAAGTGGTGCCCCCAAAAGTCTCCGGCCTGCGCCACGTGGCCGCGCAGATGCGGCTCGACCTATCGTGAGACATGCGAGAATGCCAGGGGGGTTTTGCGCTTTCTCACATGCCCATCAAACTGACAAGGCTGCAGCGCTTCCAACTCCAAGCAGCTCGGCGACCTGTCGTAAGAAGCCCCGTCCCCATCGTGATAACCCTCCGTGCAAGCTTAGGCGGCAGCAGACAAAGCCGGTGCCGCTGCAGGTTGGCTGTGCGAGTACCTCCACGCAGCAAACAACCCTGACAACACTTGTAAGAGTGCACAGAAGGTCAAACTATGGATTCTGAGGCCTGCGACTCAGCAATTGTGTCCGCAGCTATTGAATGGTGCATTCTTGCGTTGAAAGCCCTTGATGTCACTCTGCAGCTGAAATTATTTGGGGATCACAGCACATGCTCAGCCTCATTATTTTCACAAGCCCACAGCTCCTCCCTGCCGTCGAAATCTGTCGAAAGATGACCAATGCTATCAGAATTAGGTCACCGGTGCGCTGGAGCAGCCACATGGGGAATGCTTGGTGAAGCTGCCTGTATACGTCATGCCTCGAGTTTCCAAGGCACCAAGCCGATCGGGATCCCGAACCGCCATCCTTTCAGATGCATTGTCGAAGAAACGAGGTGCCGCATGGTGCCGCATGGTGCCGCATGGTGCCGCCACCACAACACTTCTGCACCATGTTGCAGCATGTTGCCCTCCTATGCCCTCCTCACCATCTTGCGAGGCGAGGAAATAGGAGCTTTAGAACGAAGAACCGCCGGAGAGCCAGAGATCCCTTTCCTTGGTCCAAGAAAATAGTGACATCCGTATCAGATTGCTGAAAGAGACAAGAAATTTGCATCCCCGAGAGATCCTCGAAATCCTGAAAGACACAACGCTTCCGCATGTTCAATGCGTAAGACTGCTGGACAGCATCTGCCGCTTGCTCAGAGCTCGGAATACTTCAAGAAGAACCCACGCCATGGCGAATTAGCAAGTTCTCGTTCATCCGGCCAAAGAGATGTGCTAGCATACCAGCGTCCAAGCAATGTCACTTAGCTCGCATCTGCTCACCAATGTTGCTACAAGACAAACACGCCAAACACACACGAAGACTGCAACCCGGCGGCCCTGAGGGCCGGAACATGAGCATGCTGAGGCATGCTGAGATGTGCTGAGATATTATCTTCTCGCGCTGAATTTGCATTTCTTCGATCTCTTTCAAATGTCTGATACCATTCCTCCGGCCCACATGAGCTCACATGCTCATTTACACCTGGCTGTTCCATGCGCGCATGAGCATCATCAACACCAAATGCACGCACCAAGTGCCACTTGAGAGCATGTCAAACGAAAGCTCCCTCCCCCAACCCTGCGTCCACGCACCCCCTACATCCCTGAATGTCAGGGCAAAGGTCCCTCGCAAGCGTCCTGCTTGGTCCAAGACAATGAGGTTGCAAACAAAACTCCCGCAAGCTTCAAGGAGCTGGCGTTCGTGACATCTGCGCACATGCGGGTCTTCAAAGTAGGTGGCACGCTCCAGCTTGCGCACTTAAGGAGTTTGATGTTCAAACTTCAAACATCTTCAAACCATTGTCAGCTGGAGCTAGGCTGCAGACTTCACGTCGGCAAGAAGCCGCAATACTGATGCCCGTTGATGCCCATGAGTGGCCGCGGCGATAGTCGTGGAATAGGTGATGATGTTTGGCCTGATATCTGATCCGAAGCCTGCTCTGAACGATGAAAACACTCTATTCATTCCCAAATGGCTAAATGCTTCTTCGAACCAAAAGTTAAGCATGCGGCAGGATTCCAAACCTGGTCATCATCCTTATGGACAGGCAGCAGCAGTTGCAAGAACCCTGCATCCATGCTGTGAAAGAACTTTGAGAACGCGCTCCACCATCACCCTGTGAAGCTTGTGTTCTGATGGTTGTTGGGAGGGCATTACGTCTTCTTGAGACCTGTATCCGAAGCAAACAAGGCCTGTTCAACTGCATCGTGGGGCATAACTCCTCACGAGTAAGACACTTCAGCACACAACACTGAGACTACAAAGTGCCAGCATGCATATGATGTGGAGTTCAACAAGGAACGCTAGAAAATATGTAAAAGACACGAACCATTTGCGGCTTGGACTCTAGATAAACATATACACAGGCAAACAAACCACAACGTCCGCGCACATCTCTGTATGCTTCACAAGCAAAAAAAACAAAAGCTACACGCGCAGCCAAACAGAGATCATGATGCTCACCAAGATGCAAATCGAAGAGCGCCACGACTTGTCTCCAGCTGCTGTGCTCGGCATGGCAGGCATTGATGCATGATGTGCAGGCCGCAACGTCTGGCCGAATGGCGCAATCAACCCTTGGGACATCTTGAGACTCGTCACATCAAGTGGCCGAAAACGCCTGTGAACAAGCGCATGTATCCACACAATTCGGCTCTCTGCTTCGTGCTGCCAAGCAACATGGCTTCTACTACTGCTAGAGCCATGATCCATTCTGAGCTCGTTTCACAGGCTGCTACCACGGCATTCCACACATAGCTGTCCGGCTCCTGTCACTTCTGCTATGGAGTTGAGCATGCCACGTGAAATTCGTCCCTTGGCGGCACCTTCCCTAATGCGACCATTTCTTCCAGCAGGACGAGCGCCATCTTCCATTGGTGACCTTTTTGTCCGCAAGCACTGATGGCGGCCGAACAGCTGATGTCGTTCAACTTCACCTGCGGTGGCGGAGAACGAATGATGGCTTCAGAATGACATGCACAGCCTGTCATTTAAGATTATGTGTTGAGATGCATGAGAGACACTGATGCCTACATAAAGTAACAACTGGAGCAAAGCCAAGCCGATCTGCCTGAACTCGCATCATCAAGGCCAGCAGTTGCAGGACCATCTCCCATGCATTGCCTGCATGTGACAAAGGTGCAAAATCGACTTCGCACGTGGCCATGCAAGTCGGCAAGGCGGGCATGCAAAGCCCATTTTTTTCTGTCTCTAGAGCACCCGACCCCTCCCGAATCAAACAAGATTATGAATGCAAACATATGCGTACGTACATACATGTGTACTTCCAGTTTTCAGTTGTTGAAATAGACTTTGTACATATAGGTATACAGCTCCCTTGGTTGATATTTATGACTTCAAGGATGTACAGGTGAGATTCAGAGTGGCTTTGGCTTAATATTCCGGGGCTTTGGATTTTAGACTCGGTACGAAAGATGCATACTTTGAGGGTTGTACCGTTTGAGCTGTCTCGCCATGTAACCGGACCGAGTAAAGGGCAAGCACGTGGAAGCATGCTTTTTTGGGAGGTTTTTGTAAAGTTCGCTTATGACGTTGTATGGCCGCATCGCTAGCCGTGCCAAGGGGAGCCGGCATGCTTGTGAGGATCACAAAATGTCACGAGGCAGCTGTTTTGTGGGAGGCCTGATGCTGCGTGTTTGGAAGGTTTTGCTCTCCTGTGTCCAACCTTCCAGCCAGCCCCCGCCGCTGACCAGCTTCTTAGTGTTTCTGCTTCGTCGCTTCAAACTCACACATCCGCTCGGATACACAAATGGCATATCCATACCTTTCACTGTACACACTGTACAGCTCCATGTGTGCGTCCCAGTGAACACCAAGCCTCTTTCGCATGCGCTGATCGCCGACCCAAAGCTGACCGAATCTTGTGCCACGCGGTGCCTCAAACGTGAGTGGTGGCGACCAAACTTCAGTTGACTCCTACAACGCAGTCGGTGCCATGCATTTCAAGCCTGGGCATATCAAGAAGAACGTGCATCGCAAGCTCCCAATCGGCACCACGGCAGGCATCAATTGCAGCGTTGCAACCTCAAAGCCAGACTGAGTTACAAAACAAGTCCTACTTGATCTGTACGAGTACTTGTGCATCATGAAGTTACCTGACTCTCATTGAAGCAAGAAGCTCACTTGGTCGAGGAGCAATCCTTGTGACTGGCCAGGCTCCAGGCTTTTCGAATGCACAATTGCCAGCATTAGTTGGGACTGCCAACTGAAATCTCGAACTTGCGGAGCGTGACATGAACATACATGAACATGCTTGAATCCGCCTGAGGTCGTCGGCCAGGCATGCTGTGGAGGAGGAGTAGCGCGGCCGGCCAATTGCCCTTTGTACATGCGGTCGCTGCAGCGCTGTAGCTGATTTGATTGGGCAGGATCTCTAGGTCAGACATCTGCACCTCGCATTCACATCATTCACATCATTCACAATCGCCTCAACGACTGCCACCATGTCTCCATGTGTTTGGGAACTGCAGTGAACTGCAGGGTCGACAACTTGGTGCAGTTCCAAGAGAGCCAATGACAGACGCCAATGTCCACTCTTCTCACACGCACTGATCACGGCACTGCAGTGGAAGACATTCACCTCCAAAGACTCCTGAATATCATCAGCAGCAAAGGATTGTGACAGCTGCCACGGTGTGTAAGGCAGCTTGTAAGGCAGCTTCGGCACTTCAATCATCTTCCAAAGGACTTGGCCCGCAATGTTCCAGTAGCCTCTCCTGGCCAATGCGCTCAGCAGAGCAGTTGCCGGCTTTGGATTGCATCTCCAAGTGTCCTTGTCGCGGTACAGGGGACCACAGATTAGGTGAGAACATGGCAGCAAGTCCAAGCCAAGCAAAGCCAAGCAAAGCCAAGCAAAGCCAGGCATCCATGCAAGAGTCGAGCACATGCAGGACCTCACACGGTCAAACGGGATCAGACCATGCACAGCTCGTGCAAAAGCAGGCTCAATCCTGACACAGCCTCGTCAGTGGGATGAGGCCCCATCCGCAGCAACTTCGTCAGATTCTCCGGATCAGCTTCTCTAGGCATCCTAAACAGCTCCAGTCTTGATGTCCTGAAGAGGGATCCAGCATGCCCACGACACCCACCAGCCACCCATGGCAAATGCCAGGAGAATCCAGAACCCGATCAGTGCATGAACGGGAGCGACGAACTACACACACATCGTGGCCTTAACATCCTGTCGATGCATGAAACATGCTGTCATCCATCGCCCCCGGGGTTCTTGGAACCAAGATCTTGCAGATGCTTGCAGATGCTTGCAGAAGCACGCATGGCCACCAATTTCAAGCAATCGGGGCACGATACTTGCGGCGAGGAACCTTTGCCCACCTGCACAACGTGCGTCAACAATGCTCAACATGGAGGTGCGCTGGAGGACTCATGCCAGTTGACGCCAGTTGAGACTCTGACAAATGCCCCACAGGAATATGCTCGCTACGTGCCTGTGCTGTACTTTCGGCCAGGCCAGTCCCCGTGAACACTCCCTGACAATGCATCACATCGAACACGCTGATCATAAACACTCAGAATTCATCCAAATGTTCTGGGGCAGAAACGAGACCGGGGCCACGCTGCGACGCAGATGGTGGAACCGCTGGTTCAGGCAGGTCCGCCAAAACTGCACGAAACTTGAGCAACTCTTTGAACAGACTGCCAGAAACTGCCTAAAGCAGGGTCAACGAAAGCTAAGGCCCCAGGGCGGCACGCGGCCGGTGTTTTTCGGCAGGCGGCTACTCGTGAAACGCTCGCACGAAGGGCTAGGGTGTAGGGTTTAAGGGTTTGGGGTCCTGTGGTAGCCTTGCAGAATCTACGGATTGGGTTTACACTTCTTGCGGGAATTCGGTTGCAGTATGCTGACACAAGCTGCAGGCCCTTAGGGCCCCCTAGGGGCGGGGCGTAGGAGGCGGGAGGGCTCCAGGGGGCCCGAGTGACCTTAACTCCTTCAAGGTTGTAAACAAAACCGACCGCAAGCTCCGAGGAGCTTTGCTTTCGAGATACTCCTCTAGTCCAGCTTGAGAAAGCTGATTCACGTCCGGTCCTTTTTTTGCAGACCGCATCAGTTTGCTCTCAAGACGTCTTCCCACTCTTCGGCCCTACCGGTGCCGTATACACATGTTGGAATGAGCAAGAGTCATTTGCCCGCTTAGACGACGATGTCAATTCTAGCAGCTAGCAGCCGGTGATCACCATATGGAAGGAAGAGGGAGGCCCTCCAACCGCTTGCCAGTGTCAAGCTTCGGACGTGGGTGAATGCACAAGACGAGCTCAGGTCGATGCCACTACAATCACACAGAACAGTCATCCTGCCGAAAGCGCACGTCGTTCACAGTCATCCAAGCCATCCACAGGAGCTATGAATCCTCAGCATATCTCAGCATCCTTTGCATCTTACCTAGTCAGGCTCAAGCATGGTGGATAACTTGTTCTCACCGACTGAGGCCAGGACGGTCCAGGAGCAGGATGCAAGCCAACGACAGCACCGAGAGAGAAAGCAAAATTGCTCCTCTGCCGCCCCAACGTGACATGAAGGGCCCTCAACCGGTTTCCTATGTACTAGTTGACAATTCGGGCTCCTCGAACAGCAGGATAAGACTTGAGGGGCATGGCAATGAAGAACTGCGTCGCAAAACCAAGGCTTTGCCAGAGCTTGTAGTTGGCCATGGCCTTGGTGCCAACGCATCAAGGAAACGTGAACCTTCCCCTTGGCTTCGTTCCAACACTCAAAGAAACCGGCGCAGAGCGGCATAGAGCTCGCGCTGCTACCAAGGACAAATTCAGTCTGCAATGCGAAGTTTCTTGATGTTTCATGTTGCGCGAGGTGAGTGCGAGATCCAAGGCCAGTAGATCGCCGAGTCACCGAGCGAAAACACCTAGTGTCATGTTTCACACCACTGCGGGCGGCACCGCGAAATGCCATCCGGCCTTGTACTCCAGAGGACTATAAGTATGTCCACCCTCATCACTGCCAAGCAAGACCAGCAAACGAACATCTTTGCACCGGCGGACTAAGCTGCTGCATCCGGTGACAAGTGATGCTTGTGAAGCCAAACAGGTGGCTTGGGGATCGCACCGCTTTATCTCATCTCTTGGGAAGCATCGACCCCGTGCATCGCACAGTTTGCTCGGGTCCCCTTCTCACCAGCCCCTTCCAGACCACATCACTGCCTAGAGGCAAAGGCGAACGAGAAGACTGATTCTGTTTAAGATAGCCATTTTCAAAAGAACTGAAAAGCAAGATGTATGTATGAAAAACGTCATCAAAACATGCTACTTCATTGAAAACTGTTTGATGTTCAATAGTCAAAGAGCATTGTACACATGCAGCGACGATCTCAGTCGATGTTCGACGTAAATCAATTCTACATGACGGCCAGACCGTCCACCAAAGCGCTGCCATCGTTGGTTGCACTGGCATTGCTTATCTGCTGTGCTGAGCAAGTGAAAACGCTTGGTCACTCGGCGAAACATGGAACCAGCGCGGAAGCAAAAGTGCAAACACACACGAACAAGCTTGCTACGCTTGCCCCGCGTGTAGGGCTTCATGATTGGGCAGGCCGGCGCGGCCCATTGCAGTCTAAACAACCCTCACAGCCCCAAAAATATCCTTCACCAAGAGGACTTTGATCTTGGTCACTTGGCCAAAAGTGATTTTGGAAGCAATGACCAACCCTGGCCAAGTGTTTCTCTCTGCCGGACCTAGGCAAAGCCCATCAGGCACCGGCTCGAGAAACATAACTGGAGGGCCACCAGCTGCAGAAAACGACATGATGCCAGGCACTCTTCCTGAAAAGCTGTGGGAAAACAGCAAGAATTCCAAGAACAACTTCTCAGCTCATGTCAGCCAGCAAAGTCGTGGCTTGTCGCTCAAGCAGCATCTCTTCAAGAAAGATTCTGTGAACACGTTGTCAGACAGCAAGAGATCCACCAGAATCAGTACAGCTGAGGAATAAGAATGCACAAGCCTTGTGAAACCGACCGTCACACGTTGAACACAGCAGCCGAATGCCTGTAATACTCGGAAAATAGCAGCTAGCTCATAAGCATGGATAAGCTATCCCGCATTGCCCTAAGTTCGCTCGCTTCAAAGCAGGTTTGATGGCGTTTCATGACGAACCAGGGAGGCGACACTGGCCAAACTGATATGCATCGTGTTCAAGTTGAGGCCGTGACCGCGACAACCTTGTCTGAACTGACGTAGTAGGTCTGTAGAGTCATTGCAGGCCCTGCTTCGCAGAATGAGTCGCCACACGCGAATACACCAGCCATGGCAAAAACCATCAACACGGCTTTCCAATCTGGCGTGGCGTCTGCTTGCCAGGTCGTACTCCCTGCGTGCAAGTGAAAGTTCTGCGGCACTGTCCAGAGTTGCTTCATAAGCAAAAAACTGGCCACGAACAGAGTAGCGGCTATGTAGACGGTGCGGCGCGAGAGCCACTTGCTGGTCACAACGAAGCCCCAAAATGCGGAGGAAAGAGCATTTACACCAAAGAAGACAGCTATGACGAATCCAGTATAAGCAGGTCCAGCAACGGGACAAGTCACATCGGTCTGGAAGTCGCCAAGAAAAAATGCTAAAGACATTCCGTTCGTCATCATGAAAGGGATCATCAAGCCAACTTTGGCATCTGTGAATGCAAGTCGACTCGTATCAGCAATTCTGGGAAGCTTCTCCTCGTCGCCAATATTCTCTTCGTCATGACTCACCGTCGGCATTGTCAGAAAAACAGAAGCGCCCATCACGCAACAGAGAGCCAGAGCCAAAAACAGAATGTCCTTTGCCCAGTTGATGGTGCCCAGTGCCATCAAGATGAGAGAAGCCAGGATATTGCCGAACATGCCAGCAAACTGGTAAATTGAGAAGAAGAGGCTGTTGTAGCCTTCGATAGGACTCAACTAAGTGAACTCATAATGTTCCAAGCTCCGAGCAAGTGAACAGGCCAGGCTAGAAGCAAACATAAGCAAACCTTGCAACCCAAGCGCGAGTTGTCACCATGCCTGGTGCTTCTCCTGACAATGTTGCTGCCTGGAAGGCACAGCGGCTGATGTAGGTGTTTTGGCTCGTCCAGAGCAGCGGCGCGGCGACTCCGACCAAGACGTTGAAGCAGATCGGCACCTGCAAGATGGTCTCGCAAGCTTTCGCAAGAGGCTTTTACAAGTTTAAGGCAGCTTGCCCCTAACATGGACAGATTCGGCTATTTTCTGGCGAGGAACTGCCCAAAGAGGTGAAGGTTCTGCTGGCACCTCCAGGGGCCAAGTTTCGACGAGGTTTCAGAGATGGCTACAATATCAATCAAGGTGGGACAACTCGTTGCCCAATGCACTCTGCTTGAGTAGGATTTTCTATGAATTGGCTTTCTCCTCCGCAAGCCTTCATGGCATTGGAAAGTGCCTGACAACAAACCAAAATAGCGGACGGCAGACACTCTTTCCACAGTACGTCACATATCGTCACATGACTGAGGCACGGACCATTGCAGCATAGGCTGCAGAGCACAATGCCAGCAGCCACTGCATGCCTCCAAGCCATCTCTCCAAACGAGAAAGGACCGGTGGAACCACCAGACACAGGATCGTGAAAGTCCCGTACCTGCAGACTAAGCTGGAGTGGTGAACTGAGCATGGATCACATGAGCGATGAATGAGATGAGCATCAGCCCTGGTAACCATGGCATGAGCCAGGTGGCAAGCATGCCAAGTTCAACTCGCCCAGCTCCGCATTCAGAGAGGACTGCAAGCCCTGCGCCGCCTGGAAGCCGCCAAAGACCCCGAAGAATCCAAAGCTCAGGAGCCTTAGCAAGCCGGAGGGCGGACAGTGCCGGACAACGCCGGACAGTTCTGGGATGCCCTTGGGACTGAAAACACATAAACCACCATTGGATGCCAGTGGACACCATGTCAGTCCCATCAGCTACAAGTACCTGTACATTCTGTATCTAAGTCTATGAGTCTATTGAGTCCTTCTTGTCTGGAAGATGCGAAGGCACTTCACAGCCCGGCGGTAGAATGCCTCATCCCGAGCCGTCATGGCTGGGCAAGGTGCTCATGCAAGCTTCCAGAATCTGCAAGCTTCCCCCTTCAAATGGCCAATCGCCTTCAGAGCCAAACAGCTGCCGCCGTTTTCCTCTCTAGCTTGATTGTAGCTACCAAAGCAGCTACAAGGCACATCGGCTTCCCTGGCCTGATTCGAGGCTTTCCTCCTGCAAGCTTAAGGTGCTAAAAGGGCTTCCTCCTCGGAGACTCCAGACAACAGCTCGCTGCAGTCCTTCGCCGAGCACGGGCCTTCATGAGATGCAAAGATGGAGTTGAAGGTGCAACCGATTGCAACCGATTGCAACCGATACCCGCCCGCACTTCAATCCCTTCATGCCTGGAGCAGCAGGCCGGTCCTTCGAGGGCGGAGAGCAGCGGAGAGCAGCGGAGAGCATCAGAGGACCCTAAACACCCAGAACTGCAGAGGAATTGCTGAAAAGGAACACGACAACAACATACAACAACTGTAACAACAACCAACAACGACAGAGCTAGTCCATGAGAAGGAGTGCGCACTGCGCGCGCACCGTGCGGGGAAGAAGGCAAGTCCTGCCCGTTGGCATATGCGGCATACGCGGGCGGTAGATCGGGCCTTGGTTCAAGTCACAGATCGTCACCTCAGCCTTTCAAGACATCCTTCAGGTCCTTGAGAGCTTGAGAATCGAACGCTGCAGATTGCACAGTCGGGGGCAAACCTGCAGAAAGATGTGCTGCCGTTTGTGTACGCAGAGTTTTTGCACTGTCTCAGCGATCGTAGGCTTTGGAAACAAAACCACCAAAGGAGCGAGCTTGGAGGGGTCGGCGGAACGCTCGCGAAGTTGCCAGGCTGCGTCACACTGGCGAAATCTTCTTCAGCCTTTCAGAAAACTACACAGGCGACACGCGCACATGCCGTCCCGAATGAGCCTTTGCGACGAAACCGCTGCGTGCATCTGCGTGATGCCTCTGCAGGCTGCAAGGGATGTAGGATGCTTTACGGAGATGCAGACATCGATCTGCAAGGACACTGCGGCCTTGATCCGCTCGATCCTCGGAAGCTCCCATGAGTTCTCCCGCTGAGCAAGGAAAAAATGACAAAAAGCTTCGACGCCTTCTCGTGGTCCAGCCTCAGTTGCGCTTGCCAGCTCCCTGTACGTTTCAAGATGTCAGAAGTGAGGTGGGACGTTGCCTGTCCTGCAAAAAATCCGACGGAGGTCACCGTGGCTGTACTTTACAGTACAGTACAGCTTATCGTGGAACAGCCGTGACAGCATGAGGCCATGACGCCTGCAGTCGCCTCCTGAAAGCCAGGTTGACTGCACAGCAGACACACTAACAAATAGGCAGGCACACGACAATCAGCGCATTGTTGCGTGTCTGTCGTATCTGTATTTCACTGAAATGGAAGAGGAGTCGGAGACTCTCACGTGCGCTACAGACAACGGCCATGGCTCGCACTGGTGAAGCCTTCTGGAACGGTGGCTGTTCTGGTGCTGGAGTTGAAGGCTGCACTTTACCATCCTCGGCAAGCATGGCAAGCAGTCCATGGACAAATCAAGCGCTCAGGAAATACTCGGGGACAGGCTTCTTGCGCCGCTTGCGAAGCCACAAGCGGCGGCTGGAGAGGCGGTTGGGTGGGCCTGTTGGTACAACATGCATCTCATTGCAGCTCGGGGAAGCATGATGCAAAGCATGAGTGCAGCGAATGACGGCGGGGGCACGGTTGCACTGGCGGCTGCAACCTTTCGTGAAGTGATACCGGCGGTTTCGCGGTTGACCACTCCAGCGATTGTGCTGGTGGCTGGGCTAGTGGCTGTGCTGGTGGCTGTGCTGGTGGCTGTGCTGGTGACTGTGCTGGTGGCTGTGCTGGGGGCTGGAGTGCTGGTGCTTGCTGCGGTGCTGGCTGAGCTGGTGTCAGGGTGGGCGGTTGTGCAAGTGGTTGGGCAGGTGGCTGTGCAGGTGGTTGGGAAGGTGGTTGGGAAGGGGGTTGGGAAGGGGGCTGGGACGGGGGCTGGGAAGGAGGCTGTTGCGGTGGCTGTAGTGGTGGCAGAGTCGCTGGTGTCAGAACAGGCACTGGTGGCGGGGCTGTTGGCATGGTTGGAGCCGCTGACGCGGTGGTTGGTCCCATGGCTGTGGGTGGCATGGCTGGTGGCATTGCAGGGGGTACTGCGGGTGGCATTGCAGGGGGCTGCATGGGAGGGTTGGCAGGTGGGCGAAGGTGTGTTGCAAGCGGTTCTGGTGTGTTGCGTGCGGGTGCCTGGGCTGGTGGCTGTGTTGGTGGTTGCTCAGGCGGTATAGACCTCGCAATCACGTGAGTTTGAGGAAGTCCGTTTTGCTTCAGCCACGGACACGACACTGATGATGCCAAGTGCTGGATACTTTGCTTTGTTGACACAACCTTGAAGCAGGTCCATTCTTAGCTGGCAGCGGGGGTGATGGTAGTTCCACGACCGTTCTGGAAGCCTGCAGCCACATTGAGGCAATATAGCTGTTCAGTGTCCGCTCAAGATACTGGAAAGAATGCACAGATCAATCCGAGCACAACTCGCAAGCGCACTACTGTACTACTGACAGACTGATGTGGATACGTTCCAGCTACAACGAGATGTTGAAGGAAGTGATCACTCCAGTCACAGATGACAACCGAGCGTGCGTTTGGTGTGAATCAACACCTTTGTCTTGCTCTTTGCTCTCACTTCAAAGCACCAAGCCCGAAATGAGCAGCAAATACTTGGAAATCCCTCAAAAATCAGAAAAACCTTTTTCCCCTACAAGCAAAATTTCAAGAAGAGCAAAGTTCGACAGGTGGTTTTAAGATGATTTTCCAAAGAGCTTTTTGATTTTCAAATCTTTCAATTTTGGACATCAACGCACCTATAAGCCTCAGTTTCTGTACAGATTGATTTGCTTTGAAATGGCCACACTTCCAGAAAGCTTCAAGGAGGAGCGTGCTGACGACAAAACTTAATACTGAACACGCTTTACGCCTACAAGCAGAAGCTTCGCGCAGTTCGACACCAGAGTGGTCCGGGCAGGTTGGCATCAAGTCGGCCAGCTGCTTGTTTACTACACCAAAGGCAAGCTTTCATAGAAGCTAAGCAACGTTGTTTGATTGGCACCCCTGCGATACTTCAAGTGAGAACATTTTCAGTTCTACAACTTTTACCAATGATTTTTGTTAAACAAAGGTACTTAGCAACTCGAAGTTCAGGCCAGAAAGCTCTGCCTACTCATCACGGAGCGAACCATTCGGGCGCGGTCTTATACTTGATCATGTGCGTCGTCGTTTGTATTTCTTGTGGCCTTGTCAGATGAACGACCCTGAACCCTCAAGCTAGCTCCTTCGATGCTTTTGTGAGCCACTCTAAGCTACTGTGTCTGCGCATGCAGTGCACTAGATGAGATCGCCGCAGGCATTTTTGAGCTTGCATGAAAACATGGGCTGGCTCTGCCCAAGCCTTTGATAGAAAAACTCTTGAAGCTTGAAGCTCTGAGGCTTGGATTTTCTTCGCTTCAAGGTATTAATGTGTTCGTGATGATGCAGCGATGCTTGGCTGGAAACATGTTGCTCTCAATGCCAAGCTTGAAAAACTGATGGGAGACAAGGTGCACATGAAAGAGAACTCAGAAAGTGCACTGGACCACAGGAATCCAAAAATCTGCCCGTGAGCGTTGTCTCGAAAAAAACTGTATTGCATGTGAGTTTTTGTCGACAAAGAACTCACATGCAATACCGTTTTTTATCGACAGAAAACTCACATTCGATACCATTGGATGCTCGGAATGCTGGATGGTTTGGATGGTTTCAAGCAGTAGCCATCACGTCAAGCACGTCCATGCACATCACAGTCACAGGAATCAAAGCTAAGGGACAACAGAACATGCCAAAGCCTCCTGCTCGTCAACGGCTTCTGGCTCTGAAGGAACCGATGTGCCCTGCACCATGCACGGATTCAGAACTGTGCACATGCTCTGTACCGTGCCTGTAGCCCGGAACTTGCTTCTGGCTCCAAAGGCCTGCCCAAGACGCTCAAGCATCTCAAGCATCTCAAGCATCTTGTGGCAAGGACTGAAACAATCGGAAACATCACGAGCTGAGGTCTGGACAAAGGCTCCTCGGGTGCCGAGGCTCCCGTGCCTGAGCCAGTCTGCAGAGCTCCCTCACCAGCTTTAATCCACAATCCTCCTGCTTGTGCCATTGCGCCATTGCGCCATTGCGCCATTGCGCCATTGCGCCATTGCTCTTGCCAATACCCCGATCGAGAAGTGCGCGCCTTCACCTTCTGGTGCTGGGAGCACCTGGCAAAGCTGGCCCATGCTGGCCCTGTGTGCAATCCACCGCTGACAGCCGTAGCCGATTTTTAAAAATGTCGGAAATGGCTTTCACTGTTGCGACGACAGCGAAGGCAGCCTCGAGCTCGTCTGCATAATCGTCCGCGCCTCAGAATACCAGAATCCAGCACATCATTGGCGGCCGCGAACCATTTCCCAACACCAATGGAAAAACGTTGCACATGATCAAGTGCTGGGTTCATCACCTTCCTCCGGCTCATGGTACCGACCATTCCAAGATTCCTTTGACGCCTTGCCTTTGCCCTTAGCAGACCCAACGAAAAGCATAGAAAGGAACGGAGAAAAGAAAATAGAGAAAAGCGCAGAGAATCAACCTCAAGGCTTGAAATGGCTCTGAAGAAGAGACGAAGAAGAGTCCCCTGCCTTGAAGTCCTTGCCATCTTTGCCGTCCCTGCCCTCTTTGCCTTCCTTTCCCCAATCCTTCCACCTTCCCTTTCCTCCATCTTTCCGATAGCCCTGACAAGTAAAACAGCTGTTTCACACGTGCTGCACAAAACGTCAAGATCTGTCAAGTTTGCCTTGTCTTCCCTCCAATCCCTGTAGTAACCACCTGGCAGAATCATTGCACATGATTGCTCTTTGTTTTTCACTGTTTGCAACGCAAGCCATTGAAAGCTCCAACTGCAGCCAGCATCTTGGCTGACAGTACGACTTTAGACTTTGGAGGCTACTTCATGGGGGACTTTGCCGTCCTCTAGTACGCTTCTCTAGTGCTGCACTGCGCAAGTTTGACTGCAGCACTGCTGAACTTATTCACGAATGGTTTGATCTGCTGTCAAGCAGTGTAAGACATTGTGAAAGCATGAAACAGCAGACAATTTCAGACGGACATGTTTAAAAACACGCCTTACACCTGTTCTCATCCATTGCCGCCATCGTGCGGAAAACGGACCCGCGCGGAAAGACAGGCTGCATAAGACGATGTGAGAAAGATGTCCAACGAACGGTCGGACGGCCTCCCTGCTAAGTTTCCCCTAAACGGTGGGGAGTCGTGGAGCACGGGCGCGGGGGACCCTGAAGTGCCCCGAATGCCAAGACGAAGGCAAAGCCTGAAGGCTTTAGGATCGACAGCCACAACCAGAGAGTCGCAAGACGGGCATTGGTTGCAGAGAAAGATGAGAGGCTCCATAACTAAGGCCTCTCAGGCTCTTGAATGTTTCCATGAGACTTTGGAAAAGCGTTTGGGAATGAGGGCCCAACAGCAAGAGGCTCTGGCATGTGGACACAGGCCAGACTGGGGAGGTTTCGTGTTCGCAAGGCTGCAACACATGAAGAATGGAGAGCAGACCAACTGAATGGTCAGAAGCCAGGGCGAGAGACAGCTTTAACAACACCAGGGTGTCAGCGATTCGGAATCACGCAAAACATAGAGATAATAAGACTAGTGACTAGTGCTGCCTCTGGTGGGGAGAGTTCTCGGTGGACGCCGGAAGCTACTCCAAAAGCACACACACAAGCCTTTGTAGTCCTTTCCTTTGGACTTTCCGTCCTGTGAGGCGGACAAGATCCGATCCTTCTGACCAATAGCGTGTCCGAGGACAGTCCTCCACCCAATCCCCTTTATGGTAGCCATCCTTGCCGTGCCAGGAAGAATACCCTGCAGTGCAGACAACCCGAGCGGTTCTCCAGGACTACCGCACAAGGAAGGGTGTTTTCACTGAGGCTGTGGCACTTGCCGTCCTTGCCACCCTTCCCATCCTTGCCATCACTCTTGCCATCACTCTTGCCATCCTTCCCACCCTCAGAGGCACCACAAATACATGCCACACTTATCAGGGACACCACCGTCTGGCGGTAGCATACGCATGTAAGCCACGGACTTTCCAATATCCTTTCTCATTCGATTCATCTAGTTTGTGCAAAAAGTTGCAATCCTGGCGAGGCACCGGGCAAGCTGATGACGCCGAACCCAGCGCTAGTGAACACCTTGACCTGCATGCAGATGGTCCTTGCGCTCACACTTCTCACCTTCTAGAAACTTGCGGCAGTACCTCACAGTGCAAGGGCAGCCAGAGGCTTCGTATGATCGCGATTCCCTACTTCCAAGGTTGGGCACTTGGTGGTGCCAAAGTTTGCACGAAGTGTGTGTCCGTCAACAGCAAACCCATCTACGGCCTAGCAGCGTATGGCGGCATGACAAGGGAGCACCGACAGAAGCAGCTTCACTACCTTCACGACACTGCTGGGGAAAAATCTGCCAGCCTGGATAGCCACAGATGCATCTTCTGGTTTTTCGAACGTAAGGTACCTTCAACTGCGCTTCGGGAGATTGTTTGTGCTTGCCAACTACAACTCGTGGAGACAGCGCACGCGCTGTAGACTGGAATGCTCTTCTCACCATTGTGAGTCTTCGACTGCAGACAAGAGTGCGAGATCGGCAAGGAAAACCAAAAAGTGCCTCAAAGTCTCTGCTGTGCTCGGGACCTGGACGGGAAGCTTGCTGACCGTCACCCGGAGCAGCTTCCCGTACCTTTGCCAGCTCGCACTGCTGACAAAACATCGAAGGCGGATCCCCAAACTGAGAGCGTCAGAGCTGTGATGAGCTGCACGCTGGCCAAAGTACTCAGGACATCTCAGCACCTCTGCTTTCGCCTGGAGCGTGACAAAGGTCAAAACCCAGTCAGCACCTCGGTGACGAAAACGAGGTCATGGCCACATTGGTGGTGAGGCCAATGACGTGCACAACATTCCTCTCACAAGAACACATCCATTGACGTAATTACATGATGCATGCATAGACTCAGGCACGGCGTGGGGAGCTACAATTTCGTTTGCAATGCCTCTTTTGCACTTCTGGAGCATCCTAAAAAGCGCTGGAATTCAGCTGCTGCACTCCCACCCCTGCTGTCGCTTTTGCGATTCGAATGGGGCTGGCATCTGCTACTGCTATGTTGCACACTCTGCATGCAACTTCACGCTGGTTGCAAACCCCATGTTCCACGGACTCTTGCAACCAGTGTAGGTCTTTTTGGGATGTGTGTCATTGTATGTGTTAGTATCTTCTCTATTTGCTTCACCTTCGCACGCGTAAAAGTCGCGCTTCCGTCACCTAAACCTGGTGGCTGGCAAAGAGCTTGTCGAGCTTTGCCAGTGGAGACCTGTCGCTGATGAAGGGTTTGGGATGGCTTGGGTGAGGTGAAGCAGGTTGCGAATCAGCTTCTGCTGCCATGTGGCGGCTGCGGTGGGACGTCCGGCTCCTTCTCGCGCTCGACTGAGGCGCGGCGCCTAAATCTAAGGATGAGCTACCTATGTGTGATACAAATTCATCCCAGAATTGGCTGCGCTGCAAGCATCATACTTGCTCGGACAGCTGGTTAAGGCATAAAGTAGAATTCTGGAGGCAGACGAGCCGTGACGCAAGCGTTTGGGCTCGACGGTCTTGTGTTGTGACAGCGCCCACTTCGAATCTATGGCTCGGACTCAATTTTACGCACACTGCAAAGTCAGTAGCTTAAGGATCAAGAGGGCCCTCTGTGGGCCGAAAAGAAAGACCGCGGGTGATATGGCCAGGGAGGAAGCCTCCACTGATTTCAAGACCGCGGGTGATATGGCCAGGGAGGAAGCCTCCACTGATTTCACAGCTCCCAAAACTCTTTCTGGCCATTCACCGATGTTTCACGGTCCCGGCATCTCGGCGCTCAGCCCGCTCTTCAAGCCTTTCGGTTTCGGCAACTAACTGGTATGTCCCTTTTTCTAAGAGCTTCTTTAGGGCCTCAGCGTTGCCTTGAATCTTTGTGAGGGCATCTACAATCATGGCTTGATGCTCAACCCAGCGAACCTCGGCGCCTACGCCATCCATTCTCTCACGAGCTATCGCCAAGTCCAGCGCGGTGTACTTGTCTTGGGCCAGCGAACCCTCCTTTCGGAGGTTGTCGTAGAGCGACTTCGCATCCACAACTGTCAGCGAATCTTTGAGCGTGTGATCTGCCTTGGCACTCTGCAGCACCAAATCGGCCTGGGCTCTGGCGTTCTCTTTGAAAACTTCGAGGCTAAACTTCTCCTGGATCAAGTCATTCCAGATTGCTTTCGCCCACAGAAGATCTCCTAGACCTTTGTTGAGCGATTGAGTCTCGGCGGCCAAGGTTGAGTTCACTTTTCTTCTCAGCTTTCCGCTCTTCCACCAGACCAGCGAGCAGGTAGCTTCGTGCCCCTGCAACATGTCCTTGTGGAATGCTATGACTCCCAAGGCCCCCTGGGTGGAGCCGTCGCTGTAGTTGGTGAAGCTTGCATCCGTGACCACGCCCCATCTCAGGTCCTCGCACTCTATTGGGAAGTAGCGCAAGGTGAGGTCTGGCCAAGCGCGCACCTTATTGATGCACTGGTTCAGCTCGAGAATGTCCTTGATCTTGAGCGTGCTCAACTTGGATGCCATTATGCTGGCTCCAGCGGCGGCATCTGGACGACACTCCTTGGCGGCCCACGCTAAAGATCCTACGGCACCTCTGAACTTGTTCTTCTCTTCCTCTGTCGCGTCCGCCTCGGGGTGAGCTCTGCGTCCCTTTTCCAGACTCACTGGCGCCATTCTTTCGGACACGAACTTGCCCATGTCTATGCAGACGGTGTAGTCGCTCAGTTGTCTGATGCGTCGCCCGTTGAATGTCGTGCCATCCAAGAGCTGCATCAACTGCTTGAATTTTCCGAATTTAAAGCGCTCGCGCAGTTTTGCCAGCTGAACTTCATGATCTCGGTTGCCAAAGCACAGCATGTCATCGATCTCTATCACTATGATCCCTTCAACGGTGCCCTCTAAGTATCTAACGAAGATGGTTGGGTCTAGCCTGCTTTGCTTGTAATTCAAGTCCTTCACGATGTAGCTCTTCAGCGTCTGGCGCCAATGTATGGGACCATCCATGAGCCCGTAAACGCCGGCCACCACTTCGATGATCTGTTCTGGGTCCATGTTCGGTAGACCCCCTTTTGGCTGCCTCACGTAGAGCTTGCCGCCTGGTCTCACGAGAGGATCTGACTGGGTGAAGGCTGCTTTCAGGTCCCCGCAGGACCCCTTCAGCTTCATACTTGCGGCCAGCTGCAAAACCACTTGCAAGTTCTGTGTCGTGACCGTCGGGCTGTATCTTTCCAAGTCCAGAGCATCGGGATCCATGTCACCTCGCACGCAAAAGCGAGACTTCTTTGACGGTGTCTCGCCAATCTGTTCCCCGGGCTTCAGCCTTCGGACCATTCTTGACCCGATCACCCGGTTCAGCTTGCCCTGCGACTCCAGCTCCTTGAGGACTCTTCTCGACTCCTCCACCGACAGCACCTTCATCGCGCCGGAACTTTCTATTTTGCTCCACTCTTCAGCGTCTTGTAGTCGCCAGGCTGGCCACTCCTCTTCGGGAATGTCGGCCTCGCTTACCTCATCCGTCGCCACCTTTTTCATGACGAAGGTCTCGGCATTGAGGACCATGAACGTATACGCTGCGGTCGTCTCCACGTCAAAGTTGGGGACCTCTTTCGACGTTACATGCTTCAGGTTCCTTAAGGCCTTCTTGGTGACATAGAAGTCGGTGAAGCCTTTCCATTTGGCCTTCAGATCTCGCTGGGGTTTCAAACTCTTCCAATCGTCCTCCATTTCTTGCACGCTTCCATCTTTCATCTTCGCCGTCGTCTTCCTCTCTCCTGTGAGATCTTCCAGCTTGACTGGCAGCCTCGTCGTCTCCCAGGGTGTGCACATCGCGCTGCGCCAGCGAACGTGATGCCTTCTCAGGACGCCCAGGGCCGGCTTTAGCTCCCAGGTGTCACGCTGCACTTCGCTTTGTCGCCGAGGTGGAACTGGCGTCGGTCCTTCCTCAAACTCATCCTGGCCAAAGAACGAGTATGGGTTGCCCGGCTCCTGCTGCCTTCTTAGGGAAGATCGCACCGGCTCATACCCGGCGCTGCTCTCCGCATCTGCTAGCCTGCTTGGCGCTCTTGGGGGAACACCGTCCAATCTCTGGCTCTGCACCGCGGAGTCCACAGCTGCGCGTAGTCGTTCTTCTCGACCGGGAGCTTCAGGAACGGGGAGTTCGGGAACCTCTATCTCTGCCTCGGGCTCCGGCGCCGACGCTTGCCTTGCTGGCTCTGCTGAGACTTCTGGCACTGGAGTTTCTGGCAGTTGCGCTGGATCGGGAAGTTCTTCTGGCGGAATTGGTTTTCGGCACCACGGGCGTCTCCGGCTCGTCAATCCTCACTCGGGGTAGCCCTCGATGTAGGCCTTCTGCGCTCACTTCATCTTCGCCAGCTTCGCGAACTATGGCTCCTCGGGAAACTCCTGGTGGAAGTGGGTCGCCCGTGTGGTCCTCGATTAAACGACTGCTCGACTTCTTGAAGCGCTCCTTTAGGTCTTGGAACACTTCATGCACAGCTTCCACTCCGCGAACCTCCTCCGACGTGGCCTCCCGCACGTGCTCGTTGCAGACCTTCCAAAGTCTGCCCAACACATTGACGTAGCAGTTCGCTCCCTCAGGCATCAAAACGACGCCTGGCCCGACCCAGTTAGGCTTAAGCACACCTTTATCCTTCCACGACCGCCAAATGTAGACGATCTCTCCCGGCTGAAAGGTTCGGTGCACGCGATTCCTGGCTCGGAGAGCGTGCTTAGCCGCCTCGGACAGGTTGGTCTCCACGAACGCCTTCTGGGCAGCCCTGCGCGCTGCCAACACTCTTTCCACCTCCTCACCGTGGTTCACCAGCGCGGGGTCAATGGCATCGTCCGACATGAGCTCCCCATTGGTCCGCGCTGTCTGCCCCAGCATCCTCTGAGCTGGAGAAAAGCCGGAGCGATTGAAGAGGCGATTTTTGGCTGCTTCCACCTCACGTGTCAGCAACCTGAGGTCATCCTCTGAGCACGGAGGATTCTGCCACTTCGCCTTTTCCATCATCTGCTTGAAGAGGCCGCCATGCCTTTCACAGCGCCCGTTCTGGTGCGGCGCCCTGGCCCCAATAACGTGCAGAAGCACGCCTAGTTCCGCGCATCGGTCTCGAAATTCGCCCAAGAACTCTCGCCCTTGGTCCAGAAGGAGGATCTGTGGCATTCCTAAGAAGCGCCCCCACGTTCTGGTAAAGGCCGCCCACACACTCACGGGCTCTTTGCTTCGTAGCTTTTCCACCATCTGGAAGGAGGTGCCCAGGCAAATCATGTTCAAGTACCAGTTCTGTCCGGAAGCATCCCAATTCGGCATCTGCAAGAGGTCGATCGCGACCACGGTGTTGGGCGCGTACGACCTGGGCACCATCGCCGGCCTATGCGCCTTCGGAGTTCTACTGGCAGCGCAGGTAGGACATCTGAAGCTGTCCTTCGCCCAACGCCATATCCTGTCTGGTGTTCGGCTCACCTTCAGAGTTCGCACCAGATCCGCCAAGCTGGGGTGTCCCAAGTTTCGATGCAGCTTCATCACTGCCTCCTTTTCTTGTCTTGTAGGCTCACCCACCGGAACGACCGAGTCTTCCGGACGTTCGTCCACTGTGTCCATCGGGCGAAGATCGAGCTCGTCGAAGATGTCCTGCTCTGCGACCTCTCCGGGGAAGCACTCGAGGTTATAGTCCATGATTGCCCCCTCCGCTCGGGGCGGCTTGCCCTTCGCCATGGCATACTTGACTGCGTCCTTGAAGTTTGTGATCTGGTACTTCTTGCGGTATAGCAGGTAGGACGCGGTGCCTTCTGAAGTGGCCTCCTTCAGGTTCTTCAAGCCTGATGACAGCGGCCCCAAGG